GAGAATGTGGGAACTGGACAATATTTTAGAGGAACAAGTCGAGCTATTCATTATTGACGTTGGTGCTTCAGGCAGTAGCGATGATGAAAGCTCATCAAGCTCATATTTCCAATAAAAGATGTCGTTCATCAAATTCGGTAAGTTATAAGTAATTATAAAGCTACTGTATTGTTTAATTAATTATTGTCATTTTTGAACCCATTTTCGCAAAACATATTCAAGAATCTACTTTCTGACAATGTTCAACCATGCACATTTTTTTACGTTTTTAACGTTTTAATTTGATTACATATTTACCTAGAAATAAAAAAATATACTAATCAATATTCTAAAAGCAATTTTAAGAGATATACGATTATTTTTAATTTAGGCTAATTTAAACGCCATTTTGAGATTATATTCGACTGTATTTCACCAAACATCAGACGGCATCCGAAGCTGGAAATCGAAGCGAAAATTTTGAAACCCTTATGTATATTTACAGCATTATATATTTCTTACCCCACCCCCACATGATCCTATATCCATCACCAATCGTATACACATCGAATTGTGCTAATTTACTACAAAGTTACGCAAAGCAGCATCTACTATCTAAAATATGTACTGCGTGACTCTTAATACGTCCCTGCCGAATGTTACAGCATTCGATGATCACGTGGTCTTGTTTATGTCCGGTCTATCTCTTATCTGAATATACTGTAAGTTGATTCAATTTAAATTCATTTTACACTTTTGTTGCTACTGTTATCATTGTAATTGCAGCTCCTGATGATGATGGCAAAGTCCATTGAAAGCTAGAGAGAATTAAAAAAAGTATAAATAAATTTTGTCGAAGTACCCAACAAAAGGCGGAAGCTTTAATTTTTCACCTATATATATATATATAGATACGTATATATATAAGATTTTAAATTTGTATGGAAACCACGCGCTTTTATATGGTGTCACAGAAAAGAACGAATTTAATGTGAACTGTTGATATCTGTCAAACTGGTGGCTTAAGCCTGGTCGACTTGCACTGTGAACTTGCATCCTAACTGCCTACGTACTTTCGGTTACATACAAATCGCAAGCTTGCTGCTTTCGCTTACTCCGAATTTGTTATCAGCACCAAAGAGACTGCTTCTGAATCTCTGAACAGCTCGTTGACACAAATCGTGAGGACTAGCACTTCTTCAACAATTCGCCCTCTTAGCTCTAATAGGGTGCGCGGAGAATTCTAATGTTCCAAGAGAAAGAAGTCACAGACTATCAAACTTGGTGATCGCGCAGGCCTTTCCGCATAACCGTTCAACAAGACGAGACGTCCTGGTAACGTTTCTTTCAAAACATTAATGTTAGCTTCATACCTCAAGTCCTCTAACCCAACCCAAATTGGAAGGGGTCGTTGAGGATAATTTCGTGAAGAATGTTAAACATGTGTAATTATATATAAAATGTATAATATATATATAGCGAAAACGCAATTTATAACACTTGCAGTTGCTTTATGACCTCTTTATAGCCACGGCGACTGGACTATGTTGACGCGTCGGTCGCTACTCGCTCACTGGCTCGACTGTATCTCACAGCCCTCGTCTTCTGGTCAAGTATTTATTCCCCTATCTACGCGTCGAGAAACATTACGGCGATCAGGTGCTTCCAGACAGGTTTCGATTATCATTGAACCTCGACTAAGCTTGCAAGCACTCACCCCTGGTCGCGTAACTCTGGTTGCGTAGCGTAGACATTGCGAGGGCGTGACAATATTTTTGCGTTGAAGGAAAACTCCATGTGATTTGCTGTGGACAAGTACAAACGTCTTCAGTCAAACAGTATATAACCGCCTCGAAGCCAAAATGAATCATTAGATTAGCTCTGTGTTGATATTGTTCAAGATACCAATTTATCAAACATCAAGTGTGATCGGATAATGACTGTGATCAATCACTGGAGCGAGTACGTAAACCAACGTCAATTTTTCTATGTTCCAACTATTAGAAGATCGACAATTGAAAGCTGTCCCTGTACAAAAAATAGCCACCAACCTCTTAAGCTTAATAATTACGAGGGAGCTTGAGGGTTGACCTTTCTTAGATGGTTCATGTCATTTGGAGGAATTAACAGTCTTCTTTAAAGGGAAAAAGGAGCTTGTTCTTATTACTTCCATGATGCCGCCGCGCTATGTGCCTGCCAGACAGACCCGCCTGACTTTGGCCTCTCATCCTAATCGTGTTGAACTTCGTACATCCAGAACTGGCCGATACGACCGCTCCTGTATCCCGAGGGTTTCGAGATTGTGGAACAATCTACAAGAGGAAGCTTTTCCCAGTTATACTAACCTTAGGCAGTTTAAAAATCGTATTAACAAAATTTCTTTGGGATCATCATAGCAGCCGCGGTGTCTCGGCATTTAGGCTTCTGCCTCCGCGGCTGCTTCGGTATAAAACAAGAATAATAACTACGATCATATGTGGCAACGTCGTTGTGACGATGCATCTTCCAAATATAACATTGGATTGGGCATATGTATTTTAGACAATATATTTATGGATGATCAAAGGAAGATCAATCTAAATTGCATTGTAGCTTTCTAGCGAGGACATACGATCTGCTCTTTTACTACCCGGTGTATCCATACTTTGGGTTACTGGAATATAGTTAGGGACTACGCTTTGTATTCTTGAACAAGAGCTGACGTTGTCTTTGTGAATAGTATCGCTTTGACAAATATTCTCTAATTGAGATATGTTTCTGTTTGATTTTCTGCATTCTTAGAAGGGTCATCATTTCATTCAATAGCATCTTCTTCTAGTGACTTATTCGCTTTTCTGAACACGGACGACAACTTGGGCGAGAGCGTGAAGAGCTCTTCTGCACATTGTATTCCAATCCTTATTTAAACGTGTCCATAGATGAGATCGGCCTCCTCCCACAAGTTCAAAGCGGTCGGTTCGAGGGTTCCGTACAACGGCTCATTATAAAGACAATACTTAGCAGCAACAAAAACTCTACTATATGTAGTCTCAGTACAATGCTATCATCTATTCGCCAGCACTACGGCACCTTGTTACCATAAATCTTCAATATCATAACCTCAACAAGCATTACAAGATGCCACACACCAAGTCAACATGCGGAATAACTCATCTTCCAGCGTGACATTCGTCAACCTCACATCATATCAGCGCCGTATGAGATGCTCGCCGGTTCGCCGCCTAAAATATGCCGAGATTGTTAAAAATGCGGGGTTTCCTTGCCAGTAAATCACCTCGGGCTCAAAGCTTTGCAGTCAAAACAAGAATTTCGACCCCTTCTCTCTTCTGGATGCTGCCGTGAGTTAGATATTAATCAAGGGTACAGGTCGAACAGTGGCGTGCACGTGGAAGGCTCAAGAAATATTACAAATGCTTAACATAAATTAAGATTTGTATATTATGAAATATCATTTAGACTTAGAGCAAAATAAACTATGGAGATTAATGAAACCTTTCAAGTACACGAACAGCGAAAAAGAATTCTAGACAGTTATAAGATGATAACAACTGAAAATACCATCTCTATATAAAAATAACCATAGAAACAGAGCTCTTCAACGTTGTTAGTGTCAAAAGTTTGATTATTATCGAATCCTCGACATTAGTCGTAGCATCGAGTTGAAATTAATATCAATTACGCTTTCTAACGTTTTCACAATTTGCGTATAAGGTAAAAGAAAATCTGTTTGAAGATGCATTCAAATGCTCGGTTTGTGAGTTAAATATTCAAAACCAACGAAGGAAAGTGAAACGAACCTGCTGACTCATCGACTTAGTCGGCAACTAGATCTTCAAACACTGAAAAAACTAATAGAACGCAATATTAATTTAGATGTAAACTGTGAATGCAATAAACAGACGACACAGGCAAGTCTAGAGTTATTAAAAAATATACTTTAACAAAGCGAATGTTTAATTTTACATTACGGAAGCCTCCAAATGTATACAAGATATATTTTATCAATTGCAGGAATAATGGTAGGCACATAGTTGAATGCTTATCATAGAGTATGTGGTTAGTGGGCAAAATAATAATGAATGAGGTATTAAAAAACTACTGTTTCTGATTTTAATTGAATTGGTCAATGTGTACTGTGCAGATATCGGTTGTGAGTCAGATAATTTTAAAAGTTACTATTTCTGCAAGTTTACGTGTTTTAACAATATGTATAAGGAGATATTGATATCACAAACGTGGAGAGATTTTCAAATAACTGATTTTCTTTGCTGTATATTATATTATTGTATAATAATTTGTCAAAGGAGTATTTCCGCAAGCCTATGAACTTTGGTCGGTTCAAAATTGGAATCAGCAAGATGGCTGTTTTCCTTCTAGTCGCGGAACTTTGGTATCATGAAACCAGCATGTCTCGGGATTGAATCGAAGATGAGTTAATGTTTTTCAGATAAACTTCCGAAACTGTGTTAGCATACCTCAAGAGCATAGTATTTTGATGTGAAGTTGAATTTCTAAAGGTTTACTTTAACTAATTGTATGAATGCTTCTGAAACACTACCACAATTTTGAGTGTTTTATCTATAAAGCTTAAAAAATAATTGCTGATTTCAACTCTGATCTCAAGCCGAACTTAAAAACATTATCCCTATTCTAGATGGAACTCTACCATGTTATAGAGTCCTTCTGCATGATCCCTAGCTTTATTGACCAAATGCTGCAGGTTTTACTAAAAAAACTTCAAAAGTATCACCCATTAAATAAAGAAAGTTTCTCTAAATGATCTTACAAAGAGGTCTTATAGTTTGATATGGACTGATACGAGATACCTATGCTGAATCAATGTTAACTTTGGACTTGAACGTGATAAATACAGGTTATCACAATGATACTTTTTAAAATTCTCCTAACAATCAACTGTTATTCAGTTCATACAGAATCTTTGCGCTGAATCCCCCTATAGAGATCGCTCAAGAGCGGTTATTGTCAGAAGCCTTTGCAATCTATAGTGTTATGTAGAGAGTATGAATATCGATAGAACCGCGATACTGACAACCGTAAAAACCAGCAGTGTAGCTGCTCTAGGGTATTTTCGCAACGCGGCACCCTACTTGGACTACCCGCTTTAAAACCAATAATTGACAGACAAGCTGGCTCAGAAAGGAACACCAAAGGTCTAGAAATGGAGACCAAAAATACTTCAATAATTTGAAAATATTAAAACTTCATTATTTAGAAAATATTCATTAAATATTTTCGGCTATGGCGCATGTGTGTCTGTGACTCCGAGCGACCAATGCCATAATGGCAAGCCGACCTGAGCCGACCCGTTAGCCGGCATCCATTTTGCCTGTGAGTTTCACTATGATTGCATGCTTCCAGTGTATCTCCAAGTGCTACATTATTTGAGTGTTTTTTTTGTGGAAAAGGGTAAGTTTTACGATAATTGCATAGCTTAATTTATCTGACCAGTGAACATTACTGTTCCAGTTGAGTATAAAGGTATTTACAAGACCATAAATAACTAGCCTCGAAATCTAACACTTATTTGCGATTTGGGGTTGGTGGATTTATCTGAAAATGAATACGAAAATTATGTTCATAACATCTCAACGAAAAGTGAAATCGCAACTTGATCGAGGTATATCAAAAATGCTTGATTCAAATATCTCAATTATATGATTATTATTTTTGTCGTAGTAGGGGGCACATAAGCTGTAACTATTCAAATCCTTAAGTCCAACAGCGGCGTTCCAAAATTTTAACAGTCAAAATTACTATATTTTTGTTCCTTGAATTATAAGATCACAAAATAGTTATGGCTAAATTTTCTTAAAAATTAACCAAATCTCGAACACCCAGAGGAAAAAATATGGGGTCCTTTTAGGTGCATTATAGAGCTGCCTTTCAGTGATCCAGTTGAGTGTAGGGAGAATACCTCTCTCAAACAGAAGACCAGTGAATAGCAGTTTATGTATTCAATAATACTTCATAATTAGTAAGTTTGTATTTTTCTGAGATGAGTGGATTTGCATGAGGCTTATAATGTTTCTTTAATGATATTTTTCTAGCAAATTAAACCATATCTAGAATGAATTTTCTTCATAAACCCTTTTATAAAAGCACTCCTACAGATTTTGCTAAAAAAACCAATGGATTTTCTATATACACTGGAAATATGTATCAGATTAATGCTTGGAAATCGGTTGCTTCATATACTTCGTAAATATTTACGAGAAATATTAGATATTTCATCAAAATATAAAATTGACATTTAAAAATCTTTCCTCATATATTTTTTAAATATTTGGAAAAAATATAGCAAAAGTATATGAATTATATATACTACAAATATCTATAATGAATATTTTATGAATATATAAGAAATACATTCATTAAATATTAAAAAATCCGTCGCTACAAATATTTAACAAAGGTTTTCTTTAAATTTAATAAACATTAAATGTTATCCTATCCGGGTAGCTGTTTTTCAACTGAGTTGTCATCACCAGGTCCAGCCAAATCAGGCTATTTTCACTTTCCATTGGTGCAACCCCTTACTAATGTTGTACAAAATATCACAGCTATTCAGTTTTATTTCGCAACAACTTGATACTCTTTGCCCCCCGAGTAATGCTCTTCCAATTTTTGCTGCAATATCTTGGATATAATTTCACAACTTACGATATCAAACTTTGAGCTTGTTCAAACTCAATATAGTTTAGGTCTTCTCCATGGACAGCTCATACGATACACGTTTTGAATTTGTCAAAATTTCCTTTTGCTGCGAGTCGAGCTTTTTCGTTAGGACAACTGAATTTTGGCAGATCTTTAAAATGGCCTCTAAAAATCCGGTTCAATCCAATAGTACTCCCATAATCAAAATGATGAACATAATATATGATCTAGATTTAATAGTGATAATTAGATAATACGAGTATTTTTAGTAGCTTTCCTTTTTTCGTACGCCTATGTTCGTGTATCGAGCAACACGGAGCGCCCGAAGGTACACGCTGTAGCCGGATTACTTTAATAGAGAGCTCTGGGTCGGTCAAATGGCCTCCGAGAATGAATTATTGGTAGTAATGGTTGTATTATTATGTAGCAATAAAGCATTCAACGGTGGTATCTTGATACAATTGTTTAAGCCGCAAAAATTATCCAATTGAAGGAGATTCCAAGCGTCGAAGTAAAATAATAGGAAAAGGGTTAGAGGCATGATTGAGATTGTAGGCTGCATTCGACATCTAAATTATGGGTGTTTTTTTTTGTCAAGGTTATTCTAACCATTCGACAGGACCGTCTGAAAAACCAAATGTCGACATCCGATTCAGGTGCCATGCGTTATGTAGGTTGATCAAACATTTGTTTACAAGAGGGACTTGAACAACTTTAATTACCCCAATAACGAAGTTCTCAAATTGGATTAGATTACGGGGATGCTACTGATATTTCGTGAATATCCGACACGCGTAGGCTTTATTTATTCACTACAAAGGGCGATTGTATAAACGCCAGAGTGGGCATGAAGAAGATCCAGACAGCACCAAATGTTGCAAATTAATGTAGAAATCATGGTAGAGCTTGTGTTTTTGAATCCAACGCCGACAACTGCGTATAATATCGACGCATGGGACAGCTACGAGCAGGTACTCAAAAATAATCGGAATAGCATTGCAGTTTGCGGATCTTGTGTAGTACACATTTCTGCCCCTAGAGGCGTACAGTGCAACTCATTACCAGTGCCACCTGAGTTGACGATCTGGCTTGGTTCGTTCCTCTGTAGTCATTATTTTTGCTAGAGCTGTTTCGTGCTTGTTTCATTTTTTTGCGTTGGCAAGCTTCAGTGAGCAACGTGCAGCAGTGAAATTTTGCTTTCTAATTGGTAAAAATACTGCTGAAACTGTTTTGATGTTGAAAATAGCTTACAAAGATGATGTTATGGGAAAAGCCCAGGTGTACGGGTGGTTTGCTCGATTTAAAAATGGCGACATTTCGATTGATGACAAACCTCGCTCTAGACGTCCATCAACTGCCTGAATCGACGAGGTCAAGAAAGAAACGAGGGAGGAACTAGACATTTCTAAGGAAGACTTCAAAAAATGTTTAGAGCAGTGGAAGCACCGGGAGGGCAAGTATATTAATTGTAGTGGACAGTATTTTGAAGGAGATCAGATTACTTTGTGAAAAAGTTGAAAATAAATAGCTTTTAAATAATAGTTCCAGTTTTTTTGGGTACCCCCTCATATTTCCTATCTAATCAATGATCCTACATTTTTTTTATTTCTTCGCTGTCGGCTTCCCGGACATTAGATTAGTTATTTCCGACATACGTATTTCTTAAAAGGAAAGCTCCAACTTTCAAAACACCCTGTATGAATATTTTTTTAATAAACAATAAATTGTCAGGTCGGCATAGGTTTCGCAAGGCAACGTTCCTTTTCAAAAGCTACCAAAATTGCAGTTAAGTCAATTAATCCAATCTAGTACTGATATATCGCTAAGACAAGTGTGGTTACCTAAGAAGAAGCTGTGAAAAGGCCAGGCAGCAGGAACACCTAGGGAGGTGCCCATCCAACATTATTTTTTTATGGCTCGGGTTTCGCTTACTTTTTCAATTATATCTGGACCAGAACACGCTTACAGTTCCGCTGCTCACCACGATTCAAAACCATCTTTGCAGGAACACCGTATATCACACATTGAGGTAGAAAACATAAGCTTCTGTATTTTAAGCTCCTAATGTGTAAACCCAACAGTGTTGATGTGGCTTTAGAGGTAATCCATATACCAGTCTACTGTCGTGATACCCGTCTCTTTTTTTGTCAACGCCTCATTAACCTCTGAATTTTTCTTGTCGCATCCCGACGATTCATCATCAAAACCGGGGATAAAAAAGAAAACGTTTTTCGCGTTTGTGTCCACCAGCCTTCCGAAGATGAATTAAAACATTCCTAGTGGAAAACGTTCTTTCGAGTGAGTCGCAGACGGGAATAAATTTCCTCATTTAATTCTGGACGGTTCAACCCTAATAACTTGTTCGTATTTTTGCCTTCATTAATCACTTTCTGCGGAAGTGACTAAATTCGGGGATGCAGTCTTTGTTTACTAGTTCTACTACATACAAAACTTCCAGTCAGACTGTGGCATTGAAAATCTACCTGGTGATTTGTATTTGTAGGAAGAGAATTACAGTCCACCATTATTTCTCACTTATTAAGAAACATCAATCGCATAAAATAACTAGAGGGGCGTTTGAATTAGAATCTACATATATTTTCGATGATACCGATGACACAAGCCGACAAAAGCCGACCCTTTTACTCGGAAACCAGAGTATACTTTCCCGAAGGTTTTTGATCCGCTGATTCCGAATCCAAATATCTCAACTGGTTGTTGTTCTCGATGCCAACTGAAAGGTGTAAAATAGCGATATTAGTTTATACGTGAGGTTATGTAGCATATTTCCAAAAAAAAATATGAACAACACCTGAAAATACAAGCCTTGCCCTTTCAAAGGCCGCTGAGTTTGCTGAAATGTGTATTTTTTTTTATTTCTTCTGTTCTCTTGATAGGGGGGACTGGGTTGTTGGCTTGTGATTTGGGTAAATTTTAGATATTTTATGCATCCATGGGTTTTTCTATAAAATTCCAGTTGACGGTTTTGATGACATTAAAAAAATCGTTTTTTATTTTTAAACTTCAACACCCTTATCTTTTCAATGAAGCCCTCGAGGAAAAAATGTTACATAGAAGACCGCCCTCAAAAATGCAGTCCTGTGCATCATGTTTCATTTCATTATTATAATCCAAACAACAACTTTCAAGGCCGAGCTTAACGTTAAAAAATACTTTCTTGTGACAGAAGCTGAGCCGGTCTAGATCAGAAAAATGAAATTTTCAAAGTGCTACATCTCAGCGAAACAAACATATATTTAAGCAATCCAAACGGCATTTAAAAGGTTAAGGTTCGTCTTTAAGGGCGGCGTGTATGGTTTGTTGGACGAAAATAATTCGCAACGCTACATAACCTCAGATATAAGCAGTAATCGCTGCCAATTGAGATATTTGGACGACAAATTCGGATTCAGCGCATCAGAAACCTTCGTGAAAGTACACTTTGGTTTCTAAGTAAAACTCTTGTCGGCCTGTATAGACGACCGACACCGATGTATCAAAGGCTGATATATCGGTCCTATCAAATTCCTCCAAAGTGAAGCGGCCCAGCAGTAGCCACGTGATAGCTTTGTCACTTTGGCAGCAGTTTTTTGCTAGTTAATTAAATGTCAAATCTATTCCTCGGCTACTGCTGTACAGCATAGAACCACTGCACCTATGGACTTCTGTACGCTGGCTGAACGCGACCAATCTCTCTCCGTCAGCTGTGAAAAAGTGTCATTTGTGTTACTCGGAGTAACTAACCTGTCTTGCACCTCATTTTTGAAATCCCCTATCTCCTCACGCAGTAGCTGTATATTCGGTGGTACAGTAGGGATAACTAAAATGACTGTATGTCAAGATTGTTAGGTTATGGTGATTCCCCGTTTCTGTTTTTTTGCATCAAACTCACGGTAAACCGATACCAGACAATGGAGGATGATAAAAACCTGATAATATATGACCCATAGTCACAACAATCATTTGAGATGTTCCTGAATAATGAAGATCACAAAAGAGCACGAGGAGGCAAGTTCCTAGCGGCTTCTCGCTGGATTCGTTTATAACTAGACACTTTGAAAATAATTTTGAATGTCTACAACTAAAGTATGAATTCGACTCGTTTACAAAGCTTCACAATAATAATGCAGACTTCTGCTTCGCCATTATTCTAAAACCGTCATCAGGCATCAATTGGATAGTCTGAAAATGCTCCTGAAAAAACGTGTTTCACAATTTCATTGTTAGAGCTTTGTGTGACCAACTCGATATCCGTCATTTAAAAGCTAGACCCGTGAGAATTGACTAGTTTGGAGTTTGAATCAACAACAAAAAAGAATAAAGATTTTCTGGCAGTGTGATCACAGATTCTTAACCTTAAAACAAAACGTCAACAGGTTTTTATTGTTGCGTTCCCGTGCACATTTGCTAGAGCAGTCTGAAATCGCCACACTCCGGATGCCCTCAATTTAAAAGCACTGGAAGTGGCTCTGGTCACGTTGAACTGAATTTTCAAGATGTCATGTTGCAGGACGCTATTCCTCCAGTTTTCGTGAAAAACAGTTGGATGTAATTGCAATTGATAAATAGCAATGTACGTACTCCTGAGTTATCTCATCAACCGGCACCAAGCAACTTCAGTTTCACGTGTTATGAAATCGGTTTCTCCAATGTGAATCTCACCTTACTTGGTATGTTTTGTTTGCATCGACCTAATTCTAGAAATAATCCATACTACTGTCGATCAATCAATTGTGTTCTACGTAAGGAAGAAACAGACAATAGGTCACTTTGAAATAATAAATAATAAAGCTATATTTCAACGATTTGCGTTTTTTAGTTTAATTCAGAAGTTCAAACGTTAATTTTCTGAAATTTATTCACTTTTCTAGGCGTTAAATGAAACCACATATGTAGGATTGAAGTTTTAGTCGGCCCACGCAGTTATATCTAATAATATCCTTGAATAATAATTTCGATAGTACATGAATTGATTGTCAAGTGTCATAGGTTTTAGGCTAATCCAGATTTCCATGCTCGTCACCTAACTGCCGTCACGCGAATTACCCAGACAATAAATCAGAAGAGTTTTTAGAAACGCCACACACACGTCCCGCGTTTCGCTACTTTTTTGGATAAAGCCAAGCGAGGTGGATCCTCCGAGAGAGAGAGAGCAACATGATAGGAACATTAATCATGGACATGTTTGCCGTTCATTGTGTGATGGCGTTGTTTGTGTACCAAGCAAGCAGCCTGCAAACAGAGACCAACTGTCCGGTGTGAGGGTTCTTAGTCGTAAAGTACTAAGGTTAGATCAAATTTTAACTCGCTCAGCTACGCGCTGCCAGAATACATTCCGCTAACATATAGACAGCCGCGATTAAACCGCTCAGTCGGAATGTATACTAAGTGACATATAAATCCGAACACCCAGTTTAAATGGTTTTATTTTAATAAAATTTTGTATAAGTATAATAAGTAAGCAAGAAGCATAATAAGTAAATGATAAAAATTTCAAAATGATTGCTCTGCTTTAAAGCTCTTTGACCTTTAATAATGTGTGGATGCACCCTGATGTGCTACGCATTCTCCAACGCGCCTAGGCATGCTTCTGATCAGGTGGTCAATGTCCTCCTGTGGTATCTCATTCCGGGCAACCACCAACTCCTCTCGAAGTGCTTCTAGAGTCTGAGGAGGACGCTGCAAATTGAGCAATCTCCTACCCATCATATCCCACATGTGCTCAATTGGGGATAAGCCGGGAGATCTTGGTGGCCATGGTAACAATGTGACATCATTATGTTGAAAGAAGTCTATTGTGACTCTTGCAACATGTGGTCGGGCATTATCTTGTTGGAAAGTTGGATCTGCCAGGGTGTCAAGATAGGGTAAAAGATGGGGTTCTAGAACTTCGTGGATATAACGCTGCGCGTTCATGTTACCTCTGATGAAGATTAAAGGTGACCTGGAACCATAAGCTATAGCACCCCAAACCATAACTCCAACAGTGTGATGAACATGTCATTCAACAAAAAACTGTGGATTCCTCCTTTCACCACGTCGCCTTCTAACCCTGGCACGACCATCGTGCATGCCTAAACAAAATCGAGACTCGTCACTAAAGACAATACTGTTCCATTCCTCATCCCAGAGTGACCGTTGTCTGCACCACTCAAGGCGATTACGTCGGTGTTCTCGAGTTAAAGGGAGGACCCAGTGTGGCCGGTATGAAAACAAGCCAAAACCTCTCATTCGTCGGTAAACACCTCGCATGCCAATAGGTCTTCCGTGTTCTGTAAACCATTCATTTGCAATGGACCTGGTAGTGGAGAAACGGTCCCTTAAGGCCAATAATCTTAGGCGGCGATCTTCACGGTCTGTTGTTCTACGGCGGCGTCCAGTGCCCCTTGCTCTTTGCGTACGGCCTTCTCGAAGCCATGCCTGGCAACACCTAACCTTAGTGTCTACACTTCTTTGCACTCTAACTGCAATTGCCCGAAAAGAAAGTCCAGCTTCCCGAAGTACCATTATACGGCCCCTATCAAACTCACTAAGTTGACGAAATCGTACAGGTCTCCGTACTCTAGGCATCGTAACCGATCGTAAAGGATGTCAATAACCAAAATCCGCCAACGTCGATTCTTTACTGCGGCTGAAATATTCATTTTTAGAGCGTTAGTGAATTAAAAAACAGCAGTATAAAAGCCCGAATGTCCAACTGATAAGGCTGAAAATTTTTTCACTTGTTATTTACAGTAAGATAAATACATTCACCAACTTTTATTAAAATAAAACCATTTAAACTGGGTGTTCGGATTTATATGTCACTTAGTATATGTATATATGTGTAGGTATGCATGTGAGATATTTAATTGAGATCGTTTATAGCCAATGAGTACTTGTTTAGTAAAAAGCAAACTTTGAGGGCGCTTTTTATTGGAAACGATATATTGAGGCATTGGTCATTAACACAAAAGTCAAAAGAGCTGTGGTTGCGCCATTTTTATATTAGTAACAAATAAGCGTATGCTCAACTGTAAAAAATTTCTATAAATATGGATCAACCTGGAACTTGTTACATGGCATAGACTCGTTTTACCTAGGTAGAGCTCTTTCTGAAAGTGTTGGGAAATATCGGAAATAGGACGTAGACTTTGAGCTTAAAACGTTAAAGTAAACACAACCAAACAGAAAAGCTTCATATGCCCACGATCTTGCCAAGGAAAAGGTTGAGTAATTTTCAAGGGTTATAATAATAATAATAAATGTCTTTATTGAAACCTTCGAATTGAGGCGAAGTTTAGCCAAATGGCTACTCTACCACTTAACCTCAAAAACGAAGTGAAAAAATAATAATAATAAGGACAATAGTACAGTACAGAAAAATAAAAAGAAAACAATGAACAATTACAGAATGTATAAAGCATGGAAAATTTACAAGAGCTACAAAATCAGTCGGCTAATCATCAGGGATTTTTAAAAAGGCAATTCCAAAAGAGCAGATTTGTATTTAATTTTAAAAACAGGTAAGCTTTTGGACTTGAGTACCTGGTTGACAGAGTCCTGATAGCATTGTACGTAAAACATCTTCGGAATATACATGTTCTGTGGAATGGCATACCGAAGAGATGGTTATGTCGTAGGGCTCTAGAAATGACTTGACCACGAGGTACAAGTTTGTCCATAAGATAAATGGGTGACCTTGTGGAAATCAATTTATGGACAAATACACCCAAAGAGAAAAGTATAGTGTTTATCAAGTTTTAGCCATTTTAGCTCTTTTATCTTAGACGATACGTGATCATACCTTCTGAGGCCATATACGAACCGACAACAACTGTTTTGGATTTTCTGCAGTCTATATTTAGTGTTATAATCAATACAAGGAAAATAAAGAACCAGCGAATAAAATATTTTAGACATAACAAGACTCTCAACAAGTTTTTTCCGCGTTTTGAAATTAAGAATGTGCCGGTTTGAATATAATAATTTTAACGATATATATGTGGATTTAAGGGTGGCATTCACGTGCTGATTAAAACGGAGGTCTTTATCCAAAATAACGCCCAGGTTTTTTGCTTCGTTAACTAAGGGTATGACAGTATGATTCACAGACAGTTGGATTAGATCAACAACATTAACTGGAAAATTATGTGGACTAAAGACAATAGCATTCGATTTACTAGGGTTTATTTTCAGTGAGTGCCGTTTGCAGAAATTATCAATATTAGCTAAGTCGACATTAAGTTTATAAGAAATTTCATTGAAGTTGCTAGAGTCAAAATTAAATGTTAACTGTGTATCGTCTGCATAAGTTTGGATTGCGCAATGCTCAACACTGTTATGCAAGTCAAACGTGAAAACCAAATAAAGTAGAGGTCCCAAGATCGAGCCATGTGGAACTCCAGAAGGAACATACTTGGGCACAGATACACCTTTACTGGTTTTCACCTTTTGCGTTCGATTAGACAAGTAAGAGTCAAAGAACATAAGAGCAGTATTACCTAAACCAAGGTACTTCAACTTACTCAAAAGTATACGGTGGTTCACAGAATCAAACGCTTTAGATAAATCAAGCATAACCAATATTGTACCAATGCGATCATCCAAATTTCTGATTATGTTATCAATTATATACGTATATAACAAAGCAGTTGTAGTACTATGATTCTTGCGGAATCCAGACTGATGTATCGGAAACATATGATTAAGTTCAAGGTACTCAATAAGCTGTAGATAGACGATCTTTTCTAATATCTTAGAAAGAAAACATAAAATGCTGATCGGTCTAAGATCATGGTATTCAGCTGGGTTTGTGACTTTAGCAATAGTTGTGATGACAGCTTCTTTCCAGAATGTTGGGAAAAAGCCCTTCTCTAAACACATATTTACTATGTGAGTTATGTGATCAAGTGTTTGTGGCAAACAAAGTCGTATCATTATTGAATTCAATCCATCACTCCCAGTGGCAGTCGATTTAATCGATAAAATGATATCAAGAACGATTTCTTGTGTTACTGTATGAAGAGTGAAAGGAGTCAAATTATTATCAAAACGGTTGTTGGAGTAAAAATTGGCTGTATTATTAATTACATTATTGGAGTGATCGTCGAATGTAAAATTTGAGAGGAAATGATTATTAGTTTCCTCTGGATCAGATAAACTATCAGGAATCTCAATTCGTTTCTGCTGACAGATATTCATACTTCTCAAATTTTTCCACAGCTTTCCCGAGTTCGAAATATCCAGCTGGGTTAAATATGCCTTCTTTTCTCTGCGAATCGAGGCCAGTGCAAAATTTCTACGGTCCTTATACGTCCGCCAATTTTGATCTGTTTTATTTTCCTGATATGCCCGAAACGCATTGTCTCGCAAACGAAGTATACGCGTTAGATTTGATGTCAACCAAGGAGCAGCAGCTTTGGTAATGCGTACAGACCTGACTGGAGCAAGTTCATTATATAAGTGAATCAAACGCTCAGTGAAAATTGTCTTGTACATAGAAAACATCATCCAAATGCAAAGTTGTTAATCGTTCTTTAAGCAGCTCAATATTCACATTTTTTAGATCTCTATATGTCAAAAACTTTGCTTCTGGTCTAAGAATAGTCACGAGAAGTTCACAATATACCAACCTATGATCTGAAATGATATCAGCATTTAGCGTTCCAGATTTGTTTAACATTACCCCAGCATTGATGAATATAGGATCTATCAATGTAGAACTGAACTGCGTAATTCTAGTTGGCTCATTGATAACATGAGTAAAGTTATAGGAATCAAAACAATTACTAAGAATATTTTTATGATTAAGTAAATCAACATTCATGTCGCCAAGAAACACTATATTTTCATACTGTGGAGTGAAAAATGGGAGTATGTTGTCAAGAACTTGGATGAATTGATTCATGGAGCAATGAGGCGGACGATATACCTACAACAATGACTAAAAAGTTGCGGTTATTTGCGACCAATTTGCAGCTCATAATTTCAAGTGAGGTATTAACAGCAAAATCTAGTTCTAGCAGTTGACATGTGAGATTTACTTTTACGTATAACTCGACACCACCTCCCCTGTCAGAACGATCTTTCCTAAAAAATGTATATCCATTAAGCAATACATCACGATCAGGAATATTGCAATTCAACCAGGTTTCTGTTACTCCGACTAAATCAAACTGATCGTTGATCAGATGAACAAAATTATTGAAATCTGCTGTTAACGAGCGAACATTAAGATGACATAATTTTAGGTTATTTGTTTCATTCATAACTAATTTTTTCATGCATACTTTCAACGTAACGCCG